CATTTTAGAATTGGCTCTTTATATTTGAGGGGGCTGGTTGTTTTGAGTTCTTTATATATTTTAGATAATAGTCCTTTGTTTGAGGAGCAGCTGGTAAAAAGTTTTTCCCACATTGTAGGTTGTCTCTTAGTTCTGCTGATAGTTTCTTTTGCAGTGCTCTTAGCTTTTTAATAAGATGAGATCCCAGTTGTTGATTCTTTCTGCTAGTTCCCGTGCTACTGATGATTTGTTCATAAAGTCTTTTCCTATGCCAATGTCTTCCAGAGTTCTGCCTAACTTATGTTCCAGCAAGTTTAGTGTTTCTTTTTTTATATTTAGATCTTTAATCCACTTGGATTTTAAATTAGTGCATGGTGACAGATAAGGGTCTAGAAAAAACTACTCATTTTCTTTGGAGGGGGAAAATGTGCAAATGAACAGTTCACCAAAGAAGTCAGTATCTATAGTCCTTAGGGAAAAACAATTTAACATCAGTGAACGACTACAGTACACTTAATGTATTGATTAAAATTAAAAAGGCATGATGTTAAGTTTTGATGAGGATGACGAGGAAATGGAAATCCCATGCATTTCTGATGGGAATGCCAAAGAGTATTGCCAGTTCAGAGAATTCTACCTCTAAGTCACTCATGCACTGATTGTATAACCAAGTGGAAAACAGCTTCACAGCTACACACACACACACATATACAATTAAACATCCCACTAGCATAGATTCCAATATTTATAATCCTAGGGTTTGCATGGCAAAATGAACACTTATATCCACACTGTGAACTGTATACACATGTTTATCATATATTCATTTGTAATGGCTGGATTCTGGAAATGAGCCACATATTCCCTGATAGATGAGCAACTAAACAAACTGCAGTATGTCCATCTAATGGGATACTATGCAGAGACAGAAGGTGTGGATCATTAGCACTGCAGTCCCCATTATGTAGTTTTGCTTTCTGGGAATTCAGTTACATATGTCACTGACAATCTGAAAATATTAAATGGAAAATTCCAGAAATAACAACTTGTAAGTGTTAAATAACTTCACATAGTATATTGCTATAATTTTCTACTTTATTATGAGTTACTCTTGTTAATCAATTACTGGTGTCCCCCTTAGAAATTAACCTTTTTCATGAGTGGATATAGAAAAAAATACTATATCTATACGTGGTATAGATACCAAGTGGGAGTATTTGAATGTATCTCACAGTAATAAAGGGGAATTGCCAGACAAGCCATGTGCATGAATCTGAAAAAGATTTGCCAATTTAACTTTCTTAATTATAGAAGTCTGTATACATTATGCTCCCACCCTTGACACTTTACAAAGTAAACCATAGGAAAGGAAGTCAGGTTGCTATGGTCTAAGGTGGGGAAAGGGAATCCACTGCAAAGGGCCATCAAGCAAATATTAGAAGTCCTGAAAATGTACTCTAGAGATGCTAGACTATGACTTCATATTTTATCAAACATATATAACTTTAAAACAATTTTTAAAAATATTTCTTGAAAATCTGAAAAATAAATGAGTACTCTAAGCACATATTCGCTGGGACCCATCCTGAAAATCGAACTATGGACCCGAATTTTGGTCTCTACAAGTTACTGATGCTCTTTGGATTGTATTTTTCCAGTAAACAAAATGGTGACTCTATCTTTTTTCCTCTTTGTAGACCTTAAGAGGCTGCAATGGTCTCTTAAATCTCTTTCTTTGTTAGGAGTATAAAATAGCAGGAAGATGTTAGAACCCCTTAAGGATGGAAGTTGTTTGGCTGCTTCTGGCTTTCTATGTAGTCCCTGGGGAAGTTTGTTTTTTGGGGATAAGTTTTGGTGCTAATTAGCTCCTCGAAGACAGAGCATCAGGGGAGAGTCTCTTCGTTCCTGTAACACTCCCTTGCGGGAGACACCACCTTGGATCAGGCCAGCAGTCTCTCTCCTCTCTACAGACTGCTGCAGGAAAGTAAGTGCCCCACAGACCTCCTCATCACTCCAGCCCTGGTTCTGTCCTTCTTTCTAGAGTAAGGCTGGTGACCGTCACTCGTGATCTTCAAGAGTTTTTCTTGTCCACAGAGGAAGAGAGGAGTAAGTAAAGAAGAGATGCTAGATTGGAGAAGTCATAATGAAATAAAAAGGTGAAATTTACTGTTTGATGAGAATGAAGGGGAGGTAAAATATGTGTTCCTATGCATACACAGTCATATATATGGCAAGGACCTTGAGAGACAGTGGAGTTTGGCCAATAATGAGGAAGCTCTCTATTCAGAACAAACTCTGATACATGGACCTTAAACAAGTTAATGTTTTGAGCTTCACACTTATCTATCTGACAACACTTTTTGTAGAAAAACACAGATTGGAAGTGGTGCTTCCAGGGAGTATAGCTGCTCATATAGTGATGTATTCAGGGTAATCTGTGCCCTTCGTCTAGATTGATTTTTAGTGGCTCTTGCTTGACCAAGACCAGCTACTCCTTAATGCTTCAGGTTCCTGTCCACCTCTTCATAAGAACATTCTGAAATCATTCCAGGTATTACTTGTCCATGATGCCACAGGAGGAAAGGCTCAATGAATTAATAGGCTATTAATAATTAATTAATAGGAGAAATTCCTTGAGGACATGAGACAATGATATGGACCCCGAGCCTTATGGCACAGATTGTTGATGTGTACAAGATGGACAGTGTTATGGACAAAAAAGCACTAGCTCAATCATGGAGAGTGAGAGGCCCAGCATATGAAGAATTCAGGAGAAAGAGGACTCAAAGATCCCTTCCACCCCTACCTATTTACAAAGACTTTGTTTCCATTTTTTCCTTATCTCATATTTATTCCTTTCTTTTTTTTTCCCTTACCCTTTCCACTTTCCCTTTGAAAGAAGGGCAGGGGATTGGGGATAAAATAAGAGCCAAGATATATCATGCAAAGGTACAAATTCCCAATGATGAATGCCATCATACTGTATACCTAAAACGTACCAATAAATTTCATGAAAAAAAAATCCCTTCCAGAACTTTGTGTCCAAGTCACAGTGGAAGAACCATTGACTTCTTAAATAGCAATAGTTCTAGCCATAGAAATGGCATTATTCTCTTTATTACACACAATACTCTTCATAAAGCTCAATAACAACACATGTCCGAGGAACGTGAAGTTAAGCTGTGGCCTTGGAGTTGATAGCACGGATCTGAGACTCAAGTCTGTGATGAGCTTGTTGACCTCAACTTGCCAGGCACCTTAGGAATGACTGACATTGGGAAAGTCACCTAAGTTCTCTAGAACCTCCACGCCCACCTTTTACTGATTGCCTCCAACATTCACACATGCGTGCGCACACAAAGATCAGGGTTTCCCATAACACTTACTGGCAACATCATCATTCTCGTAGCTCAGTCTAATAACCTTGAAACCATTCTTGCACTGTCTCTCTTGCTCACACCTCATCCCCAGTCCTGTAGTTCTGTCACAGAAGGCATCAGTAAGTGACACACCAAGAGACAGCAGAATGGAAATAAAATAACATATTTACTCACCGATAAGGGTCAATCGCACATAAGCCGTGCCTGGATCAATGACGCATTGGGTTACAATTCCTCCTTTTCTAGGGTTTCATAGCCTTAACTTCATTTGGGTGATTACATTTTATTCTCACAGTTCAAATCATGGTCACAGAATAGTTCATCTTTTCAACCCAGATGTAACAGTTCTTCGCAGCTGGGGAGTTTACCTTTAAGATTCACCTAGTTATCTATTCTAGTCCAAGGAAGGGGAAGTTCACGGTCAGGGGAGCAAATGCTAGCAATGGGTTCTTCCATCTAGACACTCTTACGATCAGGTGGCTCCAGTTCCTTAGGAGCTCAAGGTCTTGATGTGCCCTGCTATCTCAGGGCAAGACCAAACGGCTCATTCAGCAATTAGTGCCTTTGGTGCCTATTAGTCCTGAGCAAAACAAACTGTTGTTAAAGCCAGCAGAAACCATTTTACATTGTAACACTTTCTAGGTTTTTGCTATTTTAAAAGTTTTCCTGTCAGTAATATCAAAAATATATACCCAGAATTCTCTGACATCCAACAGGTAATTATTGAAAGAAAACATGAATAGGTGGGATGTTGACTTCTTTGAATTATTTTAGGGATGTTAATACCAAAATCTTACAAATAGCATTATTCTCTTTACTACACAAAATGTCATTCATAAAGCTCAGTGGTAACACATGTCCAAGCAATATAGCTTTAAGTATGGCCTTAGAATTGGATAATCCTAGGTTTCAGACCCAATATGCTTAAAAGCTTCATGACTTTAAGGTCCTTTAACAACCTTTCTAAATCTAAGTTTCTCAATTACACAGATGTACCTGTAGTTTAAGAGACTGAAATGAAAAACAAAAATGAACATACTATGCTTAATACAATGTTTAGCATGTACATTTAAGAGTGTTAGTATTTCCTTAGAGGTCTTCATGTCTTAAATTTTTAGCTTCTGTGTTTCTCTGCACTTTGGTTTACATCCTGCTCCTCTCCTCACTCAGTCTCTTTTATACCTTTTATGTATTTTGGATTTTATGGGACCTGTCCTTCTTTTCTCCTTTGTATTGCTACTCTTTGAATAGTGTCTTTCTGGGACTTTATATATTCATTTATTCATTGAGTAGTCCCAACCGCTGTTCAGTCACTGAACAGTAGACGCATAACGGTTGTTGAGATACTTAAGCTCTCTTGTACCATGTTTGTAGTTAGTCACCATTTTGGATTCCTGGAAAGTTTCCCTCTGCCCCACCCATTCCCTGGTATTTCCTGGATCTCTTCCTTAACCAGCAACTAAAGGGTTAGCATCTGGCACACTCGCAGTCTTGAAGAAACTGGACAAACTCACAGTAACTACTCTGATTGGTAGGTATCCAGCCGCGTCACCCGGTACCCAGCAGACATAGATAGACCACGTACCTACTATGTATGTGTCACTCTCCCTCTTTTGCCACCTTCGTGCCCAGCTCTGACTCATGGAGGCAGATGCCTGCAGGAACAGGACGACTGTCACTGAGTTCATCCTCCTTGGCCTGACAGAGAATGCTGGTCTGCAATCCATTCTTGCTGTTGTCTTTTTCTTTGCTTATGTAGTCACAGTTGGGGGCAACCTCAGCATCATCTCTGCCATCTTTGTGGAGCCCAGACTCCACACTCCCATGTACTACTTCCTGAGGGTTCTGTCTCTGCTGGACATCGGGTGCATCACGGTCACTGTTCCTCCGATGCTGCTGTGTCTCCTGGCTCACCAGTGCAGAGTTCCCTATGCTGCCTGCCTTTCACAGCTCTTCTTTTTCCACCTCCTGGCGGGTGTGGACTGTCACCTCCTGACAGCCATGGCCTATGATCGCTACCTGGCCATCTGCCAGCCCCTCACCTACAGCACCCGCATGAGCCGTGAGGTCCAGTGTGCCCTGGTGGGCCTCTGCTGTGCCATCTCCTTCCTCAATGCTTTGACTCACACAGTGGCTGCGTCTGTGCTTGATTTCTGTGGCCCAAACATAGTCAACAACTTCTACTGTGATCTCCCACCTCTGTTTCAGCTCTCTTGCTCCAGCATCCATCTCAACGGGCAGCTGCTGTTTGTGGGAGCCTCCTTCATGGGGGTGATCCCCATAATCCTCATCTCAGTGTCCTATGCCCATGTTGCGGCTGCAGTATTGCGTATCCGCTCTGCCGAGGGGAGGAAGAAGGCCTTCTCCACTTGTGGCTCCCACCTCACTGTGGTCTGCTTCTTTTATGGCACTGGCTTCTTCAGTTACATGCGTCTGAGCTCAGTCTCAGCCTCAGATAAGGACAAAGGGATTGCAATCTTTAATACTGTTCTCAACCCTATGTTGAACCCGGTCATCTACAGCCTCCGGAACCCTGACGTACAGGGTGCCTTGAAGAGGGTGCTGACAGGAAAGAGGTGCTGATGGAGAAGACTGGATGGGGCATCAAAATGTGCATCCCTCTTGGGAACCTGCTGAAGTTCTCCTGGTGAAAGCCTAGATGTGGGCACAGGAAAAGCTCAGGGGTTTGATCTAAGGGTGAGAGCAAAGATAGTATGGTTCAGAGTAGAGTGTGGTGCGACTTGGATCAAAGATAAGGGCTGAAGTGTAGGTAAAACAGTATCTTTGTTTTTGGTAGAAAATAGGTTCAAGACAGTAGGGGCAAATTATAGTATGAATCTGGAAACATGAGAGGCACTGTTTTTTCTTCAATGATTTTTAGTTGACATATTTAAAATGTTGATGCAAACAACAGTGTAGCTCCCTTCAAGATACACTATATTTGTAATGATGTATGGGGTCTGGTTAATTAAAGATTGTACTTTAGAGCTACGTTTAGGACTGTGGCATTAAAATGGAGTTTGACACACTCAAGGAGCAAGATATCCGTACTCACGAGAGCATCTTGTCAGCACCTTCTGTGGAGCAGATCACCGCACTCTAGTTCACAAGCCAGTGGTTGCTTCCTGACTAACATGTGCCTAGGCACAACACACTTATATGCCAAGGGGGTCCTTATTCACACAGCCCCTTCATCAAAAACATTAGAATGTTTCATTGTATGTTTTCTCAGAACAAGCATTAGAAGAATTAGTAAGATTTATTTATATTTTTGATGGTCTAGTGCATTGATTTATTGGAAACAGGATTGATATGTTTGTATAGATTCTTAGTTATGGTGGAGAGGTTGTTAAGGGAGATGTTTGCAGTCTTTCTGTCACTGACTGAATATTGCAGGCAGGACTTTATCATCAGAGAGAAACCACCCCATTTCAGAGAGAAACAGTTGGTAGAACAGTCTCAGTCCCTTCACAGTGTGCACCACTTCTCACATTTACCCTGTCAACCACTCCAAATGCTTCCTGGCCAAGAAGTGAGGACATCGGAAACACTAACATCACTGACGCGCTCATTAACTGTTTGAGACAGGCAACAGGGAGCCTTTAGGGTGTCACAGAACATTCTCCAATGACATTGCTTCCAGTCAAGTTGTGTCCACAGTCATTGTCCAAATCCAGCAAACTACTGAGTCCTTCTGAACATTCTGTTGACCTCGCTTACACCCACCATCTCCTGTCTTGCACACAGCTGCCTCCCAGCCATGCTGGAGCTGTCCCTCAAGACTCCTGCATCCGCCTCTGAGCTCCTCCTTGGCTCAGTGCCATGTACACTACTCATTAGGTCCTGTAGCGATGACTTCCATGTGTCACCTCATCGTCCAAAGCCCACTAGTTTCTTTCTGCTCACGGCTTTTTTAAATATGACCTTTCTCAGGTATGGGGGTGTACTCTTTACTTTTTCCTGACCACACCTCAAAATCTTTATTTCTTAACCACTGCCACCCTCTGGGGACTCATGTCTCACTGTACTTAGAGTCACTGCTGTTAATGTTCTCGAAAAGACTGTGGCTTACAAACCATAATGAGAATCATTTCTGAATTAATTTCTGCTTTGATATGCTCTCTCCATGTACATCATAAATTCCTTATAGACGCGATGATTGTCTTATACTCCAGACACCTCACAGAGAGCTGAGCGCATACCAGATGTTCACATAGCCTTATGGAAGATAGAAAGCAAGACCTACAGAAAAGTGTTCATCTATGTAGAATGTCAGTGAAACTGCGAGATGTTTTCAAAATAAACTGTAAGGCTCAATATTATGACAGCATAAAGACTTGGAAAAATCCTTTAAAAAGAAACTTTGGCAAAAATACACCTATACAAATAAATTTAAAAGAGCTTTATTCTAATTCAATGAAGGTAGTATGTGAATTATACATAATAAGGAGAACCTTGCCTGATCTTCTGCTTAAACTCTAATATTATTATTCCTATAACAGGTGAAGTTGCTGAAAGCTTATATGAAAGAATTACTTCCTTCTTGCAAAGAATTAAAAAGAGACTATTTCACTGATAGAAGTTAGTCTAGAGCACCACAGTGGGATATTCTATGACATTCCTAGAGTGGGAGCTT